AAGGTTTGCATATGTGTGTGATAATTCATTATTGTTAATCTCATGGTATATTAAATGTATTTATGATTCCAAGTGCACAGATCTTCCAAAATGTAAAACAAGGATTGCTTATGGTGACAAACTTTTCTTTCAGATTCAGACCTCTGCCTTTTACACAAACTTTATGTGATGTACATTCTATTAAAGGTCAACAAGTTAGGAAAAAGTTTTTTATTAGAGAAGATTGATGAAAAGGGTTAAGCTATGCCAAAATAAAAATTTATATTATAAAATGTCATCATGATTGTTGTGGTGCAATGTTATGTATGGATTTTTATTTCTAATTTTTTAGAAATTATGTAAAATAAGTTGTAAAATATGCAACTTATCTTTGTATTCTGTAGGGATTTAAATACTAGGACATCCATGGTTGGTAGAAAATAACAGTTCTATTTTATATTCTGAGGTGTTTGATATTCTGGTAAGATACTAATATTAAGCTTACTGCCTCCCTTACAATGTAATGTCATTCATTTTCTCTTTTGGATGCTCAACAAGTAAGGTTCAGAGATCAAAAATTAATATGGGCTAAGAGAATAGCCAATATTTTGGCTCTAGCCCTCCAAGGTCAGTGAAGACCCAGGACATAAGAGAACTTCTGCTGAAACATCCTATAACTCAGTTGAGTCCTGATCTTCTGATCAAGGAGATTGTGGGACCACAGAGGAAAGTGATTCAAGTATGTATAGTGTGCCTAAGAAGAGTCACCAGGAGAGAAAAATCTTCCAAGCTTTTACAGAAAGGAACTTGGTCAAGCAATGGCTGTGACTCATTCAGATGGCTGACATTGACAGAAGTACTAAGAGGTGCTATACATGGTTCCAAAGTAAATCCTGAGAAGACTTAACTGAACTTGACAGATCGCAAAATATTAATTAATTAATTAATATAGGTCTCACTTTAATTTGGTCTTGGACATCCAGCAGAAAAGTATAACCACAAGAAAGATAATTGTCTAAAAATGTCCTCCAAACACAGCTCCTCCAACTTCAATTGAACACCAATCACTTGCCACTACAAAACAGTAAAGGGGGAGATGTAGGAAGCAGCTGAGGCTGGAAATTGATCATACATGTGAGGGATGAGGAAAGGCTGGTCTGAGAACAAAGAGCACTTGAGGCAAGCCACATGATTGAGCTGTCCAGAGAAACACCAAGCCCAAGATAATCCAAGCCATTGTTGCTAGGCAAGGCCATGTCACATGGCACTAAATTTGTCATATGTATAAGTGCCCCTACGGTGGTTGAGCAGTTTCCTTTCCTCCAATCTGGAGAGATAGGGCTCCACCTGACCGCAGTTTTTGTCTCTTTATTTTTTCCATCCTCTCACCATCCTTCCCCCAGGGAACATCAAGAGCCATTCTAGGACTCAGCAGTCATCATGTTCAAATGTCCACAAGTTGACTGACACTTCTCCCAAGGGTGGTGCTGAAATTCCCTTCTTTGCACATATGTGCTGGGTTCACTGGCTCACTTCTAAGGAACAGAATGTAGTGGGAGTGATCATGGATGACTTCTAAGACTGGATCATATTAGGCATTGCAGTTTCCTCCTTGCTTTGTCCTGCTGGCTTGTTCATTCTTAGGGAATTTGGCTGGCACATTATGAGGACACTCAAGCAGCCCTGTGAAGACCTCTTTGAGCATGAAACTAAGGTCACTTACCAAGAATCATGTAAGCCATCATGGAAGGAACATCTCCCAAGTCTCTTTCCTTCTGATCACTACAGTCCCATGTGACAACATGACTGCACCATACAAGACCCCAGGCCAGAACTACTCAACTAAAGCAGTCCCAGAAAGTGTGAGCTAACATATGTTTGTTGTTTTAAGACAGTAAGCTTTGGGATAATTTATTTAAGGTTTATTATTTGAAATGCTCCACCTACACTCTTATTTACTCTTTATAAGCGTAGTATGAGACAGATGATATTTTCATTCTACATATGGGGAAATCAGACTTAGTTTAAGTCATTGGACTAAAGTGCTTAGTAGCACAAAAAGAATTTAAACCCTGGTCTCCTTGATAACAAATCCTATGCTTTAAGCCACAGTGCATGCTCTCTTCTGATATGTGATTATTGACTTCTGATATGTGATATTGAGAATATATAAAGCTTTTCAACCAAGTGTGCTTCCTGACTCCTTTGCTGATGGCCCTTTCCTCCATTAAAGATCTTACAAGCTGACGGTATAACCACATTGATAAAAAACTGATAAAACTAAGGCTAGGTTAATTATTATATACTCTTTACTATTATATTGATTTTTCCTCTATTTTAAAAGAAGTAAAATCAAAACCTTTCCAGGACACTCTAAAATAGATTTATGACTCTAGGTGATAAATCTACCATGCAGATGGATAATTAGGCCCTAGTGTTAATTTGTGAACAGAAATAAAACAAGCAATTGAAAAGACAAAAAGAACCCCACACAACTAAAAACATTTGATGTCACATTTTAAAAGCCCAAGTATTTTACTTTCAAAAAGTACATTTTGTCCAAAAGAAGTCACCACTGTCCAAGAGTTGCTGCAGGCTCCTTTCCGATAATATTGCAGTGTTGGGACTTAGGCACAGAATTCTGGACAAAGAACGTGCACAGTGTCATCAGCACAGGCTTCTATCACCCACCTGAAGCAGTACAGACACTTTGTAACACTTAAATTCAACTCATTTCCCCTGGAGTGCAGAAAGAAGAAAGTGGGGGAAAGTCACAGAGATAGTATTACTGACACATTATTTAAAATGGCTTTTTTGGGGATGTCTGGTAGCTAGAGGGCTTGCAAATGGTGGCTCAGGAACATTACTCAGAATTTTCAGTAAGCACATACTGGAGCCCCAAGAATCAGATGTACTAGGATACTATCATCTCAACATGCTATGGCTCAAAGCTCTTAGACATGGCAGACCAGTACTGTAGATTTTAGAAGGTAAAGCCTAAAGTGGAAAAGGACTTGCCCCCAGTCCCGCTGCCAAGCAAGTGACTAAGTCACAGCCCTGCCCTTGCCTCCTGGAGCTCTTTCTTCCCACTGATAGTCACCCCAGACTGGTTGGCTCCTGTTCAGTCACCTCTTCCTACATCACCTGGCTGAATGATGTCTTTAAAAATGAACACTACAATCAAGCTTGGCAAGCCTTCTCAGCATCTATTTCACCGTGATTTCTCTGGGTACACACTGGATTGATGTAGCTATTAAAAGTCAACTGTTCCTCAGCAGTCAGACCGAAAAGCTATAATTATTCCAAGTTTTTCTGAGGGACCTTTCAAAGAACATCGTCAATTCTGAATAAAGTTCTTCCTTCCAACACTTTCCAACTATTGTTTTGACATTCCTATTTTATGTTACAAAATTCCTCTGCCATTAAATGACAAAGAGCCTACTGTTTAAAGCACACATACTTGAAAACCTAAGAATCTAGGTTGATTTCCTAAAATTAAAACTAACAAGTTCTGCTCCCCACCAAATCTATATATTGTAATGGGAAAGGACCAGTAAATAAAGTCAAATATTGTCTATGTCTAGGAACTTGTTACTTAAAATATCTGAGACTCTCAAAAAAGAAAAGTGTAGACTTCCAGGGTGATGAGGGAGTCCATCCAAAAGAAATATCCACTCTGAAAAATGAGTACAGTGAGAGAAGACCTGCCAATGCAGTTTCCTTCAGCTCATTACACTTCCAATGGAGTTTCTCTGCCCTTACTGATTGCCAAGCAACAAACATCGAGTTCTGCCACCCCCTGTGTGCCAGGCAGTGCGCTAAGTGCTTTATATCCTTCATTTCAGGTAATCCTTGTTGGTATTAACTGTGGTGACAGGTCCCGAGAACGAGGTGCCCATGGATGAATAAGAAAAGGTAAACGAGAAGAAAAACATAAGAGGCAAAAGTCTGGGATCAGAGGGCCCACAGCCTCTGGGACTGCAGCAGCCTCGATCACCCATCTCAATCGCCTTTTATTAGAACCCAGAACGTAACTCAGACCAACAGGAGTAATTCATTATCCCTTTCCATTTCTACCTCTCAGCTGATGACAGCCATCCTCGGGCGAGCCTTCCACACCCTGCACCACGTGCACTCAGCACGGCTGGGGATCATAAGCCGACCATGGGTAATCAGTTCATTAGCAATCACAGTCCTTCCCCCACAAATCCTCACCAAGAGCCATTTGAAGTACTAACTTGCTTAAAGATGAGGAAAAGAGGCATACAGAAATTAAGCAATGGTTTAACCATCATAAAATGGGAGCGGAACGTACCCTGCAAAATTGCTGGAGGATAGCGCTGGGGTTGGAATAATCAAAGGAAGATGATACTCGGGTCATCTTGTGTTACCCTCACTTCGCCCCTCCGGGGGGAGCTGGCTAGCAGAGTTGGTGAAAATGATCTCTGGACTACAGCATGGACTAGAGTCCAGCGGAAGCAATGAAATAAAGGGCGAGTGGCCGTGGGAGTCTCTTTACCTGCAGCGGGACAAACTCCAGCCCCCACCATCCAGCACAGTCCGGCGGAGACCAAGAAGTTGGAGGCTCCAAGACAGACATGCGCACAACCACTTCGGAGGAAAAGGAACAAGGAGTGCAGCTACTCAGATGCGACCTCATCACTAGGGAGGAGGCGACACCTGCAAGCCCCCTGAACCTGCAAGCCACGCAGCGTCCTAGAGCTGCGATGTCAGCTTGGGCTGCAGCCCCGGTGTGCAAGGAGTTAACTCTTTCCCTTTCTCCGGCGTGCGCCACGCAGGTGGCACCTGCGAGCACTTCAGGGACGCACCGGGAGCGCAGGTGAGAAGTCTATCCCTTGCTCTTCCAAAGAGCAGAGGACAAACTCCTGGCGCGCTCCAAATGCGTTGGCTGCCAACATTTGCAAGCGCGCCTGAAATGTGCAAGCTTCTACCCACTGTCTATTTCGAACGCCCCCTTTTCCTGGGACCCCTTATCCCCAAGGCCACAGGCCTTTCCTCACCTCTGCGTTGGCGGGTAACGGTAGCACAGCCCGGCGCCGGCGGCCGAAGCGAAACTTGGCCGCTTTGTAGATCTTCCAGTAGACAAATAGTACCACGCCAAGAGGGAGGTAAAAGGCGCCACAGGTGGAGAAGACAGCGTAGGAGGGTTCCTGGCTCACCTGGCAGCGCTGCAACCTGGCGTCGTACACCTCGCCCCAGCCGAAGAGCAGCGGCGCGAGCGCGATGAGCGCGGACAGCGCCCAGGTGAGCGCGATCATGAGCGCAGAGGCGCGGCGGCGAGTGCGCAGCGTGTACTGCAGGTGGCGCGTGATGGTCCAGTAGCGGTCCAGGGCGATGGCAGCCACGTTCCAGATGCTGGCGGTGCAGCACAGCACGTCGAAGCAGATCCACACGTGGCACAGGCTCCGGCCCAGCTGCCAACGTCGCCCTGCCGACAGCTCCCTCGTCAGGCTCAGTGGCATCACCACTGCGGCCACTAGGACGTCGGAAACGGCCGTCGAGGCCACCAAGTTATGCGGCACGCGATGGAAGGCGCGGACGCGCAGAATAGTGACCAGAACCAGCAGATTCCACAGGAAAGTGGCCGCGATGAGCAGCACCAGCAGAGTCACCACCAGCACCGTGAAGACAGAGTAGGGGGGCTCCCGACCAGGCAGGACCGCGCCCCCTGGGGTGGACCCGACACCGCCGCCCGGGACTGGGCTATCGCTGCAGGTCTGCGGGGCCCCGAGAACGGCGGCGCCCGGGGTGGCCGCCCACAGGCTGGCGGCTTCCATGGAGCCTTGGCTCGGGGCTGCTGAGCAGAAGGCTGAGGCGTGGTCCACGACGCCGGCGTGGACCGGGCAGGTTGGGGCACAGAGGGAAGCCTGCGTCCCAGGGAAGGACCAAGCAGGGTCTAGGTCTCCCTATCCCACTCCCTTTTGGGGCTGCAGCCGTCCTTTGCCGTTTCTACCTGGAGTTCTCGTGGACCCTCTTTTCCAATGGAGGAAAAAAAAACAGGGTCCCTTCTGTCCAGCTCCGCTGGGCGCGCGACTCCCCCGCTCTTCGCCGCCGCCCCTGGGGCACCCGTTGACCGAGGTTGGGAATCCCGGAGCGCAGCTGAGTCCGCGGGCAACAGAGACTGCGAGAGCTGGGCAGCACCTGGTGGGCTGGAGTGGGCAGGGCCGTTTGCAAAACCCACCAATAGGAGCCGGGCCTGCAGCTCTGTCCCCGCAGGTCTCCACGCCCCGGCGGCGGGGACAGAATACCAGTGCTGCGTCTCCGGGAAGGGTTGGAGGAATTGCCTAGGCGCCACCTGCATGCAACTGTGTAGTGGGTCGGACAGAGATCGACACTCGTGTCCCGGCTGAAGGGGTTCTGGTTTCCCGAATCCCGACCCAGAGTGAAAACAGGAGCGCCAGGTATTGGAGGATGCGGAGAGCTCCCTAACCCAGCTCTGTCGCTCGGTTTCCTTCGCAGCCCTTGCCCAGCTATCGCTGAGTGGTGCTTCAAGTTCGCTCCCTGGCTCTGTGCAAAAGGAGCGCGGCTTCGGAGCAGTTTGGCGGAGACCTGAAAGAATGACGTTTGCCATCTTCTTTGCCTACTTAAATCCCCGCCCCCATGTGCTCTAACGTCTCACTCCTTTTGAGTTTCTAATACCCCTCACTGTGCCTTCCAGTTCAAGCTGGAGATTTTTGTTGTTTTGGAGGTGCCGGGTGTGAAACCCAGGGCTTTGCTTATGCTGAGCAAGTACTCTGCTGCTAGCCCTGGGAGTTATTTTTAGCCACTCTTGGACAAAGGAAGAAAACGGGTGAAATTCCCACGACCCTCTGCACATCCTCCTCCCGTTTTCAGCATCATATGTTAAAACAGTAGTTCAGTCATAATATAATCAGTGTAAAGATTCATTACTTCTGTTCGTGGGAGCAGAATGGAGACAAAAGGAAAGCCCCACTGCCTCTCTCCTGTATGCAATATAACTGACTCGTTGCTAACCTCTAGGAACAGCGCCGGCAGGTTCTGAAGATGGGGGCTGCACGCCAAGAGTGAGCTCCCAGGAAGATCAGCTCCGGAGAGTCATCTAGGCTCAAGCAGATGAAAGGGTTTCTTCCTTGTTCTTCCGGGAGCCTACTGCATGCGGGAGGGGAGGCAGTCTCCTTCTGCAGCTAGGCCAAACTCCTAGGCCACTGCTCTTTATTCTCCCTTCCTCGTTCGCTCACAAGGAGGCGCTCTCTGCTTTGTACCGTATGTGACAGTTCTGGCTTACACGCACGCAGGACAGCACACTCGCAAGGACCTAAAGAGCAATGTGCAAAGGAGCGGAAGTAAAGGTTCTTGGATTTATAGTAGGCTTCAGCCTCAAATGGTTGGTAAAATATCATAAATGGGACACTTTCCAGAGACAGAGATGGGGATATATTAGTCAGGGAAGGCTTCTTGGAGGAGGCGGCTGTTGAAATTTTACTGATGTGTAACAAAATGACCATTTTATATTCATAGTAACAAACACTTCCTTTTACATACTTACATACTTATGACACATTACTCAGAGAGTTGGACCTCCAAACTTGTCGGGAGTGTGGGTGGCTAGCTTTTTGAGGGTAGCAGATAAACATGCAGGGTATCAGTGCCAGAGGAGCAGGGTTACAAAGTGCTCAGGAAAAAGCTGGATTTGGGAAGATTTTGAGAAAATCAACCTAACAAAGAGAATCCTTTAGAAGAACATGGAGACTAACCTTGGAAATACTTTCACAATGATATTCTTCCCATTTTACTGAACAAACGTGTAACAAGAACAAAGAATATTAAAAATGTGCACTCATGTGCCTGTCAGATGCATGATGCTCTTTGATTGTCATTCTTTGCTTTCTTTCACGTACATTCTCATGCCCATGATCCATTTTTATGTTGCCGATTTCTCTTCTTACTTTTCATGCTGTCTCCATAGCTCTACTTTTTATATCACACCATTTATCATTGGGAGATGCTGAGCCACTCAGGCTTTCTGAGATAGTCTTTTCATCTTAAAGATGGAATAAGTACACTTATCAAAAGATTGTTATAAGACTAAAGTTAGATAGAGCCAATAACACAAAGTCTCCAATAAATGACAATGATAACCATGCCTGTTTTTTTAACTCCTAGACTAGATCTTAAATGCAGTTCTCTTCTGATCTGTGATGTAGATCGTTTTTAACATAGTTCTAATCTCTGACATTTATAACAAAACACTTTCTTTTACATACTTATTAAACTTACTAGCCACCTTTTTAGGCACCATTCCCAAATGCAGGTGAAAAATGGTGAGCCAGGTGTGGTGGCACATACCTGTAACCCCTGCACTTGGGAAGCTGAAGCAGGAGAATCACCACAAGTTTGAAGTCAGACTGGGCTACAGGCCAGCCTCAAATACATTGCAAAATCTTGTCTCAGACAAAACAAAACAAAACAGAAAAAGAACAGAGACACATTGGTCAACTTGCTCTACGGATTGAATAAAATTGCTTCTCTGTCAAGATTCATATATTGAATCCCTAACTCCCAGTGCATCTGTGCTTAGGAGGATCTATCAGAGGGTCAAATGGGACCCTAAGGGTGGAACCTTGATCTGACAGGCCTGGTATCCTAATAAAGGGTGACCAGAGATCTCACTTTCTCCCACCCCACCATGAGAAGGTGCCGCAGGAAGGCTTCTTCCCATCAGCCAGGAACAGGGTCTTCCCCAGGAGATCAAGCCAACACCTGGACAGGGGATTTCCAGCCTCCAGAACTGTGAGAAATACGTGACTAAGGTTTAAGCCCTCTAATCTATGGCATTTGCTGCAGCAGTCCCAGCTGAGCTGACCGCACACTTACCTTGAGATCACTTGTGAGGACTCAGCTCTCTGGTCCTCAACTCCCCATTTGTCCCTAACACTGATCTGCCTTCCACATATTAGATGGGGGTTCAGTATGACTGCCTTCACTTAACTAGTTTATGTAAATATTGCACATAGAAAATCCACATATCGGTCCTTTAGAAAACTCTATTGCATCTCAATTGTAAATCTTGACCTTATCTCTCTGCTGACTGCACTCTGGCCTCACTGGCCTGCTGCCTTGAGCATGACATACATGTTCCCCTCCCAGGGCTGTAGTGCCATCCCTTCTGCCTGGATTTTCTCCTCCCAAACAGGTGGGGGTCATTCTCTGAGTTCTTTGGGGTCTCTGCTCCACAGTCACCATCTCAGACAGGCAGGCCTCTCCCCTTGGCTCTATGACTACTTTCTCTCCACGGCATCTCACAGAAGTACCACCATGTTATCTATTTCATTTCCTTTCCATTATCTGCCTTTCCACTAACATGTAAGCACTTCTTGTGCAGAGAGTTTTTTCCCTGCAGTATCTTTAGCATCTAACACTAAGCCAGGTGCACGGTAGGCAGCTCAATACATTTGAATGATTTTTTTTAGTGAATGAATGAGGGATTGTTGGGAGAGATGATCCATGGGCCCAAGCATCCCACCACATTCAAGTTGGTTTTGCCAAGAATTCAAGACCCTGACTATTCACTGTGCAGATCATTTCTCAGAGCTGTGTTTGTAGCAAGCACCCTTAAAGGATGAGCCCATTTCTTCTCCTGGATAAAGGGCAGCCTTACTTCCACCCACTATTAAAGTGCTGAATTCAAAGCTCAGTTCTTTTCTCTGACATAGGTACAGCCTGTGCAGGAGTCCAGCATGGGTCCTTTCTGTTACCCTTCCAGTACTTGGGGGACTGGGGGAGCTACTGCAAACAAACATGAGGCCCTGACAATAGCTTTGCCTAGAGTAATAAATCCCATTGCCTCTGACCCAGGGATCTCGTGTCCTCTGCCAGAGTCTATGACACAGGAAGAACAGTTTAGCTTGCAAGTAGGATAAAATCTCAGAACCTGCACAGCACTTGACAGGCATTCAATGCATTGATTTTTAAACTTATAATTAGGAGAATTTTTTTCCTTCTGGTATTATTTCCTTGATAAATATTCTCCCACATTTATAAATGGAGTTAAAATGTAACGGTGGTGTGATTATTCTTTTGCATATTTCCAAGTTATACCTCTGAGAGATATAATGGGGTTCACTGTTCATTTTAGCTCTGGCTTTGAAGAAACAAGAGACAGAGACAGCCTGGTAAATCAATCTTTTAATCATTAAAAATATTTAATGGGTGTATAGTGATATATTTTATATTGTTTTGATTTGAAATTCTTTAATGACTAAAAGTGCTTCATTTTTCCCACATGGTGATTCATTATCTATGTATTCTTTTGTAGAAGTTTTTCAGACACTTTTAAAAGAATCTAGATACTGGTTTTATGGGCATTTATCAACATTAATGTGCTTAAAAAGCATATTTGCAACAATATTCATACTTGTTATGGCTTGTATTTAGACGTCTCCCCAAAGTCTCATGTACTCATAGGTAGGACTTTTTGGATGTGGCTAGATCTGAGGTGTGTGATCCTGGGATTAAGGGTGTGTGGACTGGATTAGTCCACTACTTGCTTTATTATAGTTCTGGGTGTGGATAATGGGAAGGCTCACCCTCGGTATGTGTGGTTTCATCCAAAATGCTTGTAAGCTGGATGGGGTAACAGGGAAAAGGAATGGTCTATGCTTATATTATTTGAACAGTTTTACATACCTCTATCTTGTAATCTGAGCAACTAATTTGAAGATAACAAAATGCATTTTATCCTACATGCAAGCTAAACTGTTCTTCCTGTGTCATAGACTCTGGCAGAGGACATGAGACTCCTGGGTCAGAGGCAATGGGCTTTACTACTCTAGGCAAG